GTTCCAGTATCCTGTGAAGGGCTTCACTAGTGATTAGGTCTTGTGAGACATCATGCGGATCAGCTATGGGATACCTTCTTCTTTTATGATGAACATTGGAGGTCTGGACTTGGGCATACTTGTCCCCTCTAGGACGTGTGTGCTACCCAAGGTAAAACAAGAGCCTATTCCCAATGACTATGGGTAAGCACCCATTTTCATGTCAGATGGCTAGCACATGATATGGTTTTCAGGCTTTCAGTGATTAATGAGAGGCATGGATCCTTATTAATATATAGTTTTCTACCACTACAGATATTTATCCTTGGAACTTCTTTAGGTTTCTTTCAAGGGAGAAAGATTTCTCTTACCCATCACTGTCCTTGGAGTTCTGCAAGGACCAAGGTAATGAACCAAGTGTACTTTACAAACACAGCAATCTCCACAATTCTCTCATGTGCTGGTGCAAGGAGATGTGTACAAAATCTGTATTCCCCGTTGTATTTTTCAGAGACCTCTTGATATCAGAGTGACCCCCACAAAGTACTTCAGTGGATCCCTACAGAAACACATGAAAATGTGGGATTCAGCTCAGGCAACAAACAGGGTCCCTAACACTACATCAATTTGTAAGTCAGGAAGGTGTCTGTTAGCCACTAGTCCCTCTCATTAATTTAAAGGAGTCTATATTCAGAAAGAATAGAGTCCCCCACCATGGCAGTGTCCATAGGAGACACCTTGCATAGGTGAGGTAACATTGATGCCAAACCTGTGAGTACTCAAGGAGTGATTCAGCGTGGATTTTGTGCTTGTTGGGCCTTTTCTAGGAAGTAGTAAACATAGGAGAGTGCAGGTATCCACTTAGGAAAGACCGGATTCCAGGAACTGGCTTGTTTTCCTGGCAGACATCTGAACATCCAGGTAAGTTTACAGTGTCACACAATAACTTTCATGTGCTCCTGAATGCTCATTGGCTCTACACTGATGCCTTCTTTTCCAGGTTTCCCTCACGAGAATATCAGGATGACAAGAAGTCTATAGAATGGAGCTTCATGCAAATGAACAGGTAAGGAACAGGGTCTGGTATTTCATTGGGGACCACATGATCTTCCATATCTTTGTGGATATCAGGAGTCTGTGAATAATGAAATATCTTCATGTTTCTCAGGCTCACATCCTCTGAAGGATTTGGATAGTGTAGGGTTCAGAGCTGATGCAACATTCAACATAGAGCCCTTTTTTCCAGTTTAGACTTGACTATTGATGGCAGGCTTCTGATGTGCCCCATTTTATGTCTCGTGTGTAGTGTTCAGTGACTTACTGATATCATGAGCAAGTGCCAAGTGATACAACAACCATGCAGGCAGTTCTTATGCATTTCATACTAGTTCCAGTTGGGGAGTAAGCGAGACAATAGGGCATTATAAAAGGGTGGGTCCCTGAGAACCTTTTCCCAATTATATCCTCAATAGTTTCCATTTACTGTTGCTGTGCTAGTCCAAAGACAGGTAGGCGGCCCTGGTATCTGTAATAGACACCGAGTGACAGGAGGATGTGAGATTATGCAGGAAGACACAGAAAAAGAGACCAGTAAAGAATGGGTTCTTTTGTACATCTTTCCAGAGAGGGTTCTAGAGCTCATGGTGAGCCACGAGAGGCCTTGCCACTGAAAATCACCTGGATTCAAGTAGGTGCAGGGGTGATCCTCCATCAGTACCGGATAGGTAATCTCTGCAGGCTTAGGTAAGTGACCATGTTTTCCCTGTAGATTGTTACTTTCATACTTGAGAGCAAATGCCCAGGGAAGCAAAGAGGAGGACAGCCAATATAGTGATTTTGAGTTTGCTGTTTGTGTATGGTGCAAGAAAATAAATTCTAAGGTTTGTGGGTCATAGATGTGCTTGTTCCCTACTTTAGTGACCTTCTGAAAGACCAACTTGCTGAGCAGAACACAAGCAAATCATTAAAGATAACCAGATCATGGGGTATAAGTCTCTGAATGATAGTGTTCCCCTCAGAATATTTATGACATTATGGTGGAGTGAAAGCCTTTTGTGCCAGTGTTAATGGCCGGGTGTTCCTATAGAGAAAGCTATATGTGGAATTACATGCTTTTAGCGTGGGTTGTTGGCCTTTCCTTCAGGTATACACAGTGAGGCAGAAAACTTTCTGTGTTGAGACTAAACAAGTATCTCATTTGGACATAACCCAGTTCAGGTGCCTGACGTTCATTAGTAAAGTTAAAAAGGGGCATCTGAAAAGGAGTCACCAGGTTTGGTGTTGCCGTGTTTTGTCAGAAGATATCCAGCAAAGGGCCCAGCTGGCGATCAGGTCTTGTGGGATTTTGCTACCTTAAATTATGGGACTTTTTTTGTTTTTCAGATATATATTGGTGGCACCCTGGTCTTTTACCTACTCTTTGACATGAATGACACTAAAGGTAAAAGAAGGGTGCTTTGCAATGTGTATGGATAAGCATCTCATTTTCATGGGGAAAGGCTAGCTCATAATGCAATTTTCTTGGTCACCAGTATATTTGGAGAGACAGAGATTCTTGTTTTTATGCAAAAGGAAATTAACACTTGGGACAGATAGTGAAGTAAGTGTGTTCCTCAAACAACACAGTGACCTAAACAATTCACACATATGCTGGCTCAAGGAGATGGGGACTAAATCAGTATCGGCAGTGTGATTTTCACAGGGATCCTGATGTCACAGTGAGGCATACAACATATTCACACTGATCCAGGGCACCAACTATGTTCTGCCACCGCCTAATGCATGGGTAAGTGACTAAGGAGTCCCTTGGCATTCCTGGCCCCCTTCCTTGATTTAAAGGTCCTCAGAATGGAGTCCTTGGCTATGGTACTGTCTGTCAGTGAACACTTGGCCTGGGTACAGTCAAATGGATGCCCAAATAGTGAACAGGAGTGATTTTGTCTGGGTTTGTGTGCTTGTCTGTGCCCTGCCTGGGGAAAACTAGATATAGGAGAGTTTGCTAGTGTCTGCTTAGGAGAGATTCAACTCTGGGGCAGGACTGTTTCCTTGGCAGTCATCTAAGCATCCTGGTAAGCTTCCAGTGTCCAGGGTTTTGGGCATCATTGAGATGCTCATTTGCTCCACGTAAACACTCTTTTCCATGTCTTTACAGGGTTCCTACAAGATAGGCGAGGGATACCAAGAAGTGTGTGACTGGAAGTTCATGAAAATGTCCGATAAGAATCAAGGTGCCAATATATTGTTAGGGACCATGTCATCTTTAGTATCAGAGTGAATGTCAGGAGGGCAGATATAACAAGATGTTTTCATTTCCAGGGGGTGTGCATTCACTAAAGATCTTGGCTGCTATACAGTTCAGAGACAATTCCCCATTCACCCTCAGAACGTTTTTTTTTTTTTTTTTGCAGTAAAAATTTGAGCACTGATGGGGAACTTCTGATATTTCTCCTTTTATCTGACAGGTGTGGTGTTTAGTGACTTCTTGATGTTTTGAAGGAGAACTAGGAGCTGTGGAATCCTTGTCAGGACATTTCATACATTTCATACTGGCCCCAGTAGGGGAATAAGGTAACAAGTCATTGTCATAGGTGAGTTCCTGAGATACGGCTTGGAGGACTTTGGCAGATATTTTTTCAAGAGTGTCCATTTAATAATGACGGGCTGTTCACCATACATGTGGGAGACCAGTAGAGTCAATGAAGCCTAAATGATTCAGTAATGTGGACATTGTGCGGGTGGACATGAAAAAGGGGACCAGTGAATGATAGACTGGGGACATCTTTTTCAGTGAGAGTCCAGAATTCACATGAGATGCCATCCACTGAACATTGCCAGGTTCCAGGTCAGTGCAGGCATGGGCCTTGCTCATAGTATGAGACACATGATCTCTATGGACTTTAATAAATGATGGTGCTTTGCATATTGTTGTGGCTGTGCTTTGAGTGCAGGGGCCCGGAGAAGCAATGAAGGGGGAACTAAGCCAATTCAGTAGCAAATAGTTTGCCCTTGGTGTAAACTGCAGAAATGTGAATGTTAAGGGACCCATTTGTCTTGGAATTGTGTTTTCCCTGATCCAGTGACATTGAGGTGGAGCAACCTTCTGAGCAGGAAGCACAGGAATCTTGGCAGATGACTACTTGATGAGAAGGAGTGTCTGGAGATGATGGGATTCCCCTTGGGCTGGTCCTGTATCTGCGTGGAGTGAAAGCCTTTTGTGCCATTGGTGATGGCCAAGGTAAGAACCAGATGTTCTTGCAGAGCAAAGTGAATAATCAGTGATGCGTTTCTCACATGGTGGTGTTGGACTTACCCACAGATAATTGTATGCGGCAGTGGAAAAAATGTTTTGAGCAAAAATGAAAATGTTCAGATAAGTTCTAACATGGACATAGCCTGGTTCTTGGGGCTTGATGTTTCTAGCAAGTGTGAAAAGGAGCCTCTGCCTAACCCTGGTATTGCCATTTTTGGTCACCAGCTATCCTGTGAAGGGCCCATCTGGTGATCAGGTCGTGAGATATTCTCACCTTCAGCCATGGGACACTTTCTCATTTTGTCATGAATGCTGGAAAAGCAGCCTTGGGCATCCTTATCTTTTCTTGCTATTTGACATGTGTGATAATAAAGGTGAAACAAGATTTTTCCTAGTGGCTACTGATAAGCACTGCATTTTCATGCGGGTTGACTGGTTCATAAAGTGTTTTCTGTGTTCCCTGTCATATAGAGGGGGAAGGATTCTTGTTACTATCCAGGTTTCCACCACTATGGATATTGACTGTTGGAACTTCTTCAGATTTCTGTTCAAGCGAATAATATTTCTCTAATCAGGCTTTGTTGGTGGGGTTCTGCAAGGACCCAGGTAGTGGGCTCCTCAAACAAATACAGTGACTTCTGTGATTCTCACATATGGTGGTACAAGGAGATGTGGCCTAAAACAGCATTCCTGATGTGGCTTTTACAGGGATTCTGATGTCACAGTGAGGTCACAATGTACTCACGTGGACCACCAGAGACAGGTGAGTGTGGTCTTGAGCCCAAGGCCCAAGGTTCTCCCACATTTTCCCCATGTACAGGTAGGTGACAAAGGTATCCCTAACATTCCCAGGCCCCTCCTTGATTTGGAAGAACTCAGGTCAGAAAGGATGTTGTCTCAGCAGTGCTACTTATGTTGAAGAAACACTTGCCATGGATGAGGTTAAATAGATGATGACATAGTGAGGATTAAAGGAGCGATTCTGTCTGGGTTTTTGTGTTTGTTGTTGAGGCTCAGCCCGAGAAGCAGTAAGTACAGGAGAATTTTCAGGTGTTCACTTAGGAGAGCTTTTACTCTGGGAAAGTTCCCAGTGTCATCCGGTGGTTTATGGGGGCACCAAAATGATCTTGAACTCTGCACTGACACCCTCTTCTTCATGTTTTTTCTAAGTTCTCTTAAAGAGAGGATAAAGATACCAAAAAGGCTACAGCTGTAAACTCCTACCATCTCAGGTAAGTATTAGAGTGTTACTACTGTTGCAGAAGAGCACAGCATCTCAGTGCTATAGCCAAGTGTTGTAGCTCAGTGTCACAGCTAAGTGCCATAGCTCAGAGGCGTGGCTGAGTGTTACACCTCATTGTTGCAGCCAAGTGCCACATCTGTGAGGCACAGCTGAGCCTTATAGCTCAGTGTACTGGCTCTGGAGCACAGCTCTCATAATTTGAAAACTTGAGAATCCAATGGTCAGTTGAAGGAATGGAGAAAAAAACCTTTATCATACCCGTGAGTCCCTGGCAGGCTCAGAGGAGCTTGAGCCCTTTACCAGAAATGAGTGCCTCCTGGTATAGAGATCTACAGGCAGGCAAGCACGCTCAATGAAGCAGGGGTGTGGACTTACAGAACATTCCTGAAAGGTCACACAGTTCAAACAGTCACAAATCATTTTGATAACATTGAGCAGGAACCCAGCAGCACGAGCTTACATTTCCAAAACAAAACATTTTGTGGGGGGAAAAATGGAGGCAAAGCAAGGGCCTGTCTTACTGTATAGCACTTTATCACTACCACATTGGGGAACACATGGGCCTCCATATCCAGGTAGATGTCAGAAGTGTGCATAGTGAGATGTTCTCCTGGGAATAAGAGGGGCAAGCGGTCATTGTCATAGAATATGTTTTTGAGATATGGATTGGAGCAATTTGGCAGGTATCAATTCAAGAGAGTCTATTTACTGTTGCATGGCTAGTCTGTGGGCATGTAGGAGGAGTTCAGTAGCGGAAATGGGCCCCAAATGATATGATATGAAGATTCTGCAGGTGGTCATGGAAAAGGGAACTTGTAAGTTTTCTTGGGTGTTTTTTGCATTGGGATTTGGGAATTCACTGTGAGCCCTTGAACATCACCAAGGATCCAGGTAAGCATAGATTTGTGTCTCTGTTATAGCATCAGACAGGGGATCTTTGTGAACTTCGGTAAGCAGATGGTGGTGTTTCTGTGTTTTGTACTACTGTGCTTTTGGTGCAGCTACCCATGGAAGTGATGAGTGGAGTCCTAAGCCAGTTCAGTGGCCAGGAGTTCTCCGTTGGTGTAGTTTGTAGACTAATAAATGTTGAGGGATCCATATGTCTTGGGATGACTTTTCCCCAACTCCAATAATATTGTGGTTGAGCACCATTTTGAAAAGGAAGCACAGGAATCTTGACATACGATCAGTTTAAGAAAATGAGTGAGGATGATAGTGTTCCCCTCAGATTGGTTCTTGTATCACAGTGATGCAAAGTCTTTTGTGCCGGTGGTGATGGCCAGGGAAAGGGCCAGGTGTTTTTGTAGGGCAGAGTACATGCTGAATGACATGGTTTTTACATAGGGCTGTTGGACTTCCTTTCAGATAGGAATTTAGGGAGATAGAAAAGATATCTGAGGCAAGATTGCAAATTTTCAGGTAACTCCTAATGGAGATGTAGCCTGGTTCTTGGGTCTTATGTTCCTTAGGGAGAAAAGGATATTGCCTAATCTGGTGTTCATGAGGTATCCTGTGAAGGGCCCAGCTGATGATCAGGTCTTGTGAGATCTTGCCATCTGCAGCCATGGCCACATTCTCCTTTTGGCATTAACAACGGAAAAGGGTTGTCTTTTCCCCTTGTCTTTTCCCTGCTGTCTGCCTTGTGTGACAACAAAGGTACACCATGGAGTTGTTCTCTATGGTACAGGTAAGTATTGCATTTTCCTCTGGGATGAATGGCACATAAGGGGTTTACCATGCTCTTTATCAGGTATGAAGACACAGGGATTCCTGATAATATCCAGATTTCCATCACTACAGATATTAACCCTTGCAACTTCTGCAGGTTTCCATTCAAGATAGTAAGATTTCTTCTGGGCTTTGTTCATGGAGTTCCACAGGGAAGGAATGAGGCATGTGGCCTCCTCAAACAAACACAGTGACAATTGCATATCTGGCACATGCTGACGCAAGCAGATGTGGCCTTAATAGGTATTTCTAATGTGTTTTTTCAGAGGTATCCTGATGTCAAAATGAGGCATATGGTGTATTCAGATGGATGCCTGTAGACAGCAAGTAACTGTGGTCTTGGTTCCAAGGCATCAGTAAGGTTCTGCCACTTCAATGTGCATAGGTAAGTGAGAAAGTGTCCCTTGGTATCCTAGGCCTCTTCCTTGATTGGAAGGTGCTCAGGTCAGAAAGGATGAGGTCCTGGGCAATCTTCCTGTCTGTGTGGGCCACATGGCATGGGTAAGGTCAAAGGAATGAAGACAAGATGAGCACTGAAGGAGCTTTTCTGTTCAGAGTTTTGTGCTTCTTGGGGTCTTCCCTTGGGACAACAGTCAAGCAGACAATAGTCCGCAGTATCCAGCTAGAAGTTTGACTTTGGAGGTGGGACTGTTTTCTGCAAAAGATACCAGCATCTGGGTACATTCTAGTGTTACTCAGTGGCATAAGTGGCACTGAAATATTCATCGTTTCTACACCAACACACTTTTCTTTGTGTTTTTTCTGTTTCCTTGAATAGAGGATAAGGATGGCAAGGAGACTATGGCCAGAACCTTAGAGAACTCTCAGGTAGAGTCAGGGGCTGGTACCTCATTGGGCATCACGTGGACCTCTGTATCTAGGTAAGTGCCATGAGGGTGTGAATAATAAGATGTTCTCATGTATTTTGGGAGCACATCAACTTTAGGAACTGGATAGTGTAAGGTTCAGAGACAATGCTTCATTCATCCTTAGAGCCTTTTTGACTGATACAGATTTGAGTACTGATGGTGAAACTCTTACGGTTCTGCCTTTATTTAGTAGTGCAGCGTTCAGTGCCTTCTTAGTATCAAGAGGAAGCACAAGGTCTTGTGAACCTATGCCAGCGACATTGTGCATTTCATAATAGTCCCTGTACAAGAAGAGGTGGATCAAGAGGTCATTTTTGTAAGGTGAGTTCCCGAGACTCAGATTGGAGCAGTTTTGCAGGTACCTCCAAAGAGTGTCCATTTTCTATTCCATGGCGAGTTCATGGGCATGCAGGAAGGAGAAGTCTGGTACTGGTGATAGCCCTCAAGTGACAAGATGACATGGAGAGTGTGTAGGTGGCTATGGAAAATGTGACTGGAAAAGGATACATTTTCTTGATTGCCTTTCCTGATGTTGGTTTTGGAACTCACTTTGAGCTCTTGACATCATTGATCCCACTAAATATTGCAGGGTTCCAGGTAGGTACAGATGTGGGTATCCCACATAGCACAAGACAAGGAATCTCCAGATTTTGGTAACTGATACTGAGGTTTCTGTATATTGTAGTGGCTTCCCAGGGAAGCAATGAATAGAGTGCTATGCCAATCCAATGACCATGAGTTTACCCTTGTTTGACATAGGGTGCAGGAAAATGAATCTTGAGGGATCCACTTGTCCTGGGGTTGCTTTTTCCATGGTCCAGTGGTGTGGTAGTAGAGCAGTCTTCTGAGCAGGAAGCACAGGAACCTTAGCAGATGAGCAGTTCATCAGAATGAGTGTTTTGGAAGGAATTCCACTCAGATTGGTTCTTTTATCAAAGTACAGTAAAGGCCTTTGGACCAACAGTGATGGCTAGATAGTCAGATACCCTTGAAATTGCCTTCAGGTAGGTATGTAGAACAATTTGGAAAGACACTTTGAGTTAAGATTGCAAGTTAAGTCCCCATGCAGAAATAGGACTGGTCTGGGACTCTGATATTCCATAGTGAATAGAAAAGGAGCTTCTGCCTAACCCTGGTGTTGCCCTGTTTGGTCACCAGATATCTTGTGAAGGGCCCAGCTGGTGATCAGTTGTTGTGAGATGCTGTCACTCTCAGCCATGTGATACTTTCTCGTTTTGTCAAGAACATTGGAAAGGGTCCTTGGTCCACTTGTCTTTTCTATGATGTTTGACGTGTGTGACAACAAAGGTACAACAGAAAGCTCTTCCCAACAACTATGGTTAAGAAGTGAGTTTTCTTTTAGTGTGCTTGGCATATACAGTGTTTTCCATACTCCCTGTCAAATATGGTGACACAGAGATTCTTGTTAATTTCCAGGTTTCTGCTACTAAAGATATTTATCCCTGGAGCTTCTGCAGATTTCCTTTTAAGAGAGCAAGATATTTTCATACCAGGCTTGCTTTAAGAAATTCTGCAGGGACCCAGGAATGAAGCATGTGGCTTTACAGACCAACACAGTAATCACCATAAATCTAAGTTGTACTGGTACAAGGACAAGGACCTTAAATCAGTATTTCCAATATGTTTTGCACAGGTATCCTGGTACAGTGTGCTCAAGTGGATCCCTACAGACAGCAAGGAATTGTGATCTTGGTTTAGGGCATCAGTGAGGTCCCTCATTTTCATGTGCATAGGTAGGTGAGAAGGTGTCCATCAGCATTCCCTGCCCTTTCCAGGAATTGAAGCGCTTAGTTCACCAAGGATGACATCCTGGGAAGTGTTACTATCTGTGTAGGTCCCTTGGCATGTGTGAGATCAAAGGAATGACAAAAAGGTGAGCATTGAAGTAGTGGTTCTGTGCAGGTTTTTGTCCTCCTTGAACTCCTGCCTGAGGACCAGTAAACACAGAAAAATTTGCAGGTGTCCAGGTAGGAGATGCCTGGCTCTGGGGATGGGAATGTTTCCCTGGCAATCACCCCAGCATACAGGTAAGTTTCCAGTGTCATTCATTGCTATACAGCTGTGCTGAAATGCTCATCAGCTCTATACTGATACCATCTTCTCCATGTTTTTTCTAGGTTCTCTTGCAGTGCCAAGAAGGCTATAGCTAGAACCTCATGCAAATGCCAGGTCAGAATCAAAGTTCTGGTACCTTGTTAGTTACCATGTACTTGGCAGTATCAAGGTGGAATGCAGAAACACGTGCATTATGAGATGCTCCTGTGTCTCCTGTGTACACACATGCTATAGGGCAAGGCCAGTTGAGGGTACAGAGCCTTTGCCCCATTATTTTTCAGGGAATTTTGTCCAATATAGATTTTGAATACTCATGGTGATGAGTCTCCCATAGTTTTGTCTATTTGGTATTCAGTGCCTTTTTCTATGGGGAGGGAGCAACAGATACTATTGAATCCCTGCCAGACAATCCTGTACATTCATACTAGTCTCTGTAGGAGAGTAAGTGGGAAAAGAGCTCACTTTCAGAAAGTGGGCTGCTGAGATATAGATGGCAGTGTTCTGGCAGGTTATCTCCTGAAGTGAGCCAAGTTCCTGACACATGGCTAGTTTGAGGGCACATAGGAGAAGTCAAGTAGTGGTGATGTAGCCCAGGTGATACAGATTTGTGATCAGGTTTGTGCAGTTAAACACATAACAGGAATAGTAAACGATAGGATTTCCTGGGCATCTTTTCCAGTGATGGATCCAGAATTCACCATGAGCCCTTGAACATCAGGGATCTTGTTGAACATGCTTAGATATCAGGTAAGTGCGCATATGTGCCTCCCTCATAGCAACAGAAAGTGGATCTCTCTGGACTTTGGTAAGTGGTGGTGGGGTTCCTCTGTGTTCTTCGGCTATGCTTTGAGTGCAGGTGCCTGGTGAACTGATGAGTGGGGATCTGTGCCAATCTAGTGACAGTGAGTTTGTCCTTGGTCTAGGGTGCATGATTATGTTGAGGGATCTGCTTGTCTTGTAATTGCTTTTTCCTGTTCCAGTGACATGACCGTGGAGCAGCCTGCTGAGAAGGAAGCACAGGCATCTTGAGAGGCAAACATTTGGTCAGGATGAGTGTCTCCCCAGGATAAAATTCTCTGTGGACTTATTCTGTTATCAAGATGGAGTAAAAAAAAAGGCTTTTGTGTAGTGGTGATGGCCAAAAAAATGGCCAAATGTTCCTGTAGAGTAAACTGCATGCTTGCATGATATGGTTTATGCATAGTGTTCTTGGATTTCCCTTCAGATAGACATATGAAACAATGTAGAAAACATTTTCAGTTGTTGTTGCAAATCATCAGGTAAGTCCTATGTGGGAAGGACAAAGCCTGGTTCCTGGCACTGTGTTCCCTAGGACAGTCTAAAAGGAGACTCTGCCAAAATTAGTCTTGACGTATTTTGTCACCAAATTTCCTGTGACGGGTGCTGCTGTCGATCAGGTGTTGTGAGATTCCCTTCTTCCATCATAAAACACCCTTTTCTTTTTCTGTGAACTTTGAAAGAGTTTTTTTTGGCACTATTACTTTTGGCTTTTACTTGCTTTTTGACCTGTGTGACAAAATAAGTAGAAAAGAGGTCATTTGCAATAGCTACCAGTAAGATCACTTTTTGTTGTGTGTTGGCTGGTTCATAAGGTGTTTTCCATGCTTGCCCTCTTATATGGAGAGTCAGGGACCCTTTTAATAAATCCAGGTCTCATCACTTTGAAAATTGACATTTGTAACTTCTTCAGGTTTTCATTCATGTTCATAACATTTCCCATAGCAGGCATGTAGTGAATGAAATGAGCTAAGCAAACGTAATCTGTGCAGTCCTCTCATGTGCTTTTGCAAGGCACAGTGGCTTATATCAGTATTCATGATATGTTTGTCACAAAGCTCTTATCATCACAGGGTAGCTTACAACATACTCATGGGGATTTCTGGAGCCCTCAAGTCTGTGTATTCTTGGGCCAACAATAGAAGTGAGGCCCCACCACCTTCACATGCACAGGTACTTGAGAGTCTGTCCCTGGGCCTTTCAGGGCCTCTCATTGTTTGAAGGTGCTAAAGTCAGAAAAGATGATGTTCTTTGAATTATTAATGTCTTTAAAATCATATTGGAATGGGTGAGGTCAATTGGACAAGGAATGGGTGGGCATTGAAGAAGTTTTTCTGTGCAAGTTTTGTGCTGCTTGTGGTCCTGCCTTGGGGCCAGAGTGCATAGAATGATTTGTGGGTGTCCAGGTGGGAGAAATTGAACTCTGGGGCTAGGATAGTTCTCCCGATAATTGTCTCAGTATCCAGATAAATATCCATGCCATTCAGTGGTTTACAAGGGAGCCTCTAAATACGCACTGATTCTACACTGAAATCATCACTTTGTATTTTTCAGGTGTCCTGGAAGAGAGTGGTGGTATGCTGAGGATGCTGTGTAGAGAAGCCCTTGAAGTTGTCAGGTAAGAATTAGACTGCTAGGACCTCGTTGGAGACCACATGGTCCTTGGTATCAAGGGCCATATCAGGAGTACGTACACAGATGATGTTTTCCTCTTTAATGGAAGTACAAACTTCAGGACATGGGTAGTATAAAATTCACCCTCAGAGTTATTTTAACAGTATGGATCTGAGTACTCATGGTGAACCTTTCATGATTCTGTCTTTTTTTTCCCCACAAGTATGGTGTTCAGAGACTTTTTGCTACAGCCAGGAAGCACCAGGTAATTTTGAATCATCTTCACCAGATATGGTGTGTGTAATATTGTTTGTAGTAGGAGAATAAGTTGTGTAAAGGATCACTGTAATGAGGTGGGTTCCTCAGTAATTTCTTAGTGCAGTTTGCTAAGTATCTCCTCAAATGTGTCCATTTTCTTTTCACAGCTACTACCTCGGTACCTAGAAGTTGGATTGTGGAAATGGACCATAAATGGTAGGACAGCATGGAGATCATACAGGTGGACAGGAAAAAGTAGACAGGTTATAGATAGAATACATGGGCACCAGTTCCAGTGAGAGGTCTGAACCTCACAGGTAGCCATAAGAAACCATCCTGTTAAACATCACCCCTTTTCAGGTAAGTGTGGATTCAGTACTGCATTGTAACCCCAGTAAAGAGAGTTTCCTGGACTGTGGTAAGTGATGGTGTGGTCCTTGTATGTTACTGTGGCTGTGGTTTGGGTGCAGGTCCCAGGAGAAGCAACGAAGGTGGAACTAAACCAATGCAGTGACCAGAAGGTTGCTTTTGTTTTAACATGCAGAACTCAGAAACTTGAGGGATCCTTGTGACTTGGCATAGCTTTTTCCCAGGTCCAGTGACATTATGGTGGAGCAGCCTTCATAGCAGAAGGCACAGGAATTACAAGGAGGCACAAGTTGATGATGATGAGTACCTTGGATGATGGTGTTTGGCTTAGATTTGTTCTGATAATCAACATTGTGCCCATGGTAATGGCCAAGGAAAAGGCCAGTTTTTCTATCTGAGTAAAGTGCATGCACGATCAGTGACATGATTTCCCCATGGTGCTGTTGGACTTTACCTCAAGAAGGTATATGTAGCAAGACAGAAAAGTTTTTTTGTGCGCTTTTAATTATTTTTAAATTTTATTTGTACATGATTGCAATTTACGTAGTTAGTTTGTAGTCTTCTTGGAGAATGACTATTTGTACATATTACGGCATGTTTCTTTTTACAATTGGATAAAGAAAATATGCTGTCTATATAGAATGGAATGCTACTTGGCAAAAAATTTTGCATTGAGATTGCAATAACTTAGTCCTGATGTGGACATAGGTTGGTTCTCAATGCAGGATATTCCTCAGTGAGATGGAAAAGGAGACTATGCCTAACCTGGGGTTGCTTGTCACCAGGTACCCTGGGGAGAACTCAGCTGGTGACTAGGTCTTGTGAGCCCTTCAGCCATGGGACATGTTCTTCTTTTCCCATGAAGATATGAAGAGGGAGGTTCCTTGCTTATCTATTTCTCTGCTGTTTCATGTGTGTGACAACAAAGGCAAAACAAGAGGCTATAACCAATGGCTTCTGAAAACCATGGCCTTTTCTTGTAGGTAGGCTGGTGTATAAGGTGTTTTCCACATTGCCTGTTAAAAATAGAGGCCCAGGGATTCCTTTTAATAAGCACAATTCCACTACTGTGGAAATTGACCCTTGAATCTATAGGCTTGTAACAGTTTGAGGAGACATTGCTTAAAGCACCATTCCTGACGTTTTCATAGGATCCTGATGTCGCAGTTGGTGTCCAGGGTACTCATGTAGAACCCTAAGATAAGTATGTTCTTGGGCTAAGGGAATCAAAGAGGTCCCTCCTCCTCCATGTGACAGGTCAGTGAGGAAGTGTCCCTCAGCATTCTCCACCCCTTTCTTGATTTGAAGGTGCTAATGTTAGAAAGGATGACTCTGTTCTGAGAGCGGGATCTGGGCACGAGCGTGGTCACATGGATGCTAAAAGCAAGGGCATGGAAGGAATGAATCTGTAGATGTTTGTGATTTTTTGAGGCGCTGCCTCAGACAGTGAGCAGAGGAGTGTTTGCAGATCTGCAGGAGGCAGAGCTTCAACTCTGGGGACCGGACTGTTGCCTTGTATTTATTCCAACATCCAAGTAAATTTGCAGCATCATTCGCTGGTTTATGGGGGCACCAAAATTCTCATTGACTCTATGCTGACACTATGTTATTTTCTGTGTTTTTTAACAAGTTCCTCTGAAAGAAGTATAGGGATGCCAAGAAGGCTGGTGCTGGAACCTCATGCAAATGTCAGGTAAGGATCAGAGTTCTGTCACTTCATTGGGGGCACGTGATCTTTTCCATCCAGGTGGATGGTTGGAGCATATGCAAAATGAGCTATTTCCCCTGTTTGCTGTGTGTAAATCCACTATAGGATTTGGATAGTGTAGGGTTGAGGGACTATGCCACATTGAGGCTTTTTTTCTGATACTTATAGCAAAACTAATGTTTCCCCCTTCATTTGGCAAGTGAGGAGCTAAGTGCCTTTGTGCTGTCATGAGCGAGTACCTGGAGCTTTTGAATCACTATCTACAAATCTCATACATTTCATATGAGTCCATTAGGAATGAAGTGGTGCAGGAGGTCATTGTCATAGGGTAGGTTCCTGAGACATGGAGTGGAGCAGTTGGTAGGTTTTTCCCAAGTGTGTGCATTTATTCTTCTACAGCTATCCTGAGGGTTTGGGAGTGGTGATGGACTTCAAATGATAGGATGATGTACAGATTATACAAGTGATAATTTTTCCTGGGTGTCTCTTCAATTTAAGGATTGAGAAGTCACCATGAATCCTTCAACGTCATTGTGGTCCTGCCTTGGGATCCCACTGTGTAAGAGAGTTTACAGGTGTCCAGGTAGGAGAGATTGAACTCAGGAGACAGAATGATTTCCCCAGAAATCCTCTCACTGTCCTAGTAAATTTCTGTGTCATTCAATGGTTTATAGGGGCACGAAAATGCTTATTGCCTCTACAGTGATGACATCATGTCTGTGGAATGTCCAGAATGCTATGTAAGAAGCACTTGCAATTGTCAGATAAGACTCACACTGCTGTGACCTCCTTGGGGACCACATGGTTCTGGGCATCTGGGCACATGGCAGGAGTGTGTGTGCATAGGGTGACGATCTCCTGTTTACTGGAAGTACAAAGTCAGTACTTGGCTAGTGTACTCTTCATAGCCTGTACCCATTCACCCTCAGAGCCATTTTTCTCCTGTATTGATCTAAGTATTGAATTTGAACCTCTCATGTTGCTACCTTTGTGTTTTTTGCATGTATGGTGTTCAGGGAATTCTTACTGCAGTAAAGGAGCACCAGGTGCTTTTGAATCCATTCCAACAGATAGAGTGCATTTCATGTTGTTCCCGATAAATGGATAAGTCAGTGAACAGGTCATAGCAAGGGATTCTCAGTTTTGGCTTGGAGCAGTTTGGCAATATCTACTCAAGCAAGTCCATCTACTCTGCAGAGCTACTCCTTCTGTACCTGGAAATCTGATCAAGGCAAGGGCAGTGGACGATAAATTGTAGGATGATGTGGAGACCTTGCAGGCGGACATGGCCAAGTAGATGGGTAATGGATACAGTATGTGGGGGCATCTGTTCCAGTGAGAGACCTGAACCTCACTGGTAGCCAGAAGAGGCGACTTTGTCAAATATTGCCAGCTTCTAGGTAAGTGCCAATGCAGTGCTGCATTATAGCCCCAGTCAGTGGGTTACCATGGACTTTGGTAAGTGATGGTGGGGTCCCTGTGTGTTATTATGGCTGTAGTTTGGGCGCAGTTACAAAGCGAAGAAAGGAAATTGGAACTGAGCCAATTCAGTAAACAGGAAACCACCCCTGGTGTAACATACAGAAACCTGGAATTTGATGGAGGCTTGTTTCTTGGGATTTCTTTTTCCCTGGTTCATTGACATTGTGGTGAAGCAGTCTTCTGAGCAGGGAGCACAGGAATCCTGTCAGGTATTCTAGTTGATAAGGATGAGGGCCTTGGATTATGGTATTTGACTTGGATGTGTTCTGATATCAGTGTGGAGTGAAAGCAGTTTGTGCCTATGGTGATGGCCAAGGAAAGGGCTGGTTGTTCTTGCTGAGTAAAGTGAAAAATCAGTCATGTGCTCTCCCATGGTATTGTTGGACTTTCCTTCAAGAAGGTATGTACAGCAATGCAGAAAAGATTTGTGTTTTTTTGCATAAATTATTTTTTCATTTTATTTGTGCTTATTTACAGCACATATAGTTTACCATAGTCTTGTGGAATGGTGACATGTACTTATTGCAGTGTTTCTTTTTTATGATTGAATAAAGAAAATGTATCTATATATAATGGAATACTACTCAGCTGAAAAGTTTTTGTGTAGAGATTACAGATATTCAGGTAAGTCGTAAGTGGACATAGGATGCTTCTCAGTGTCTGATGTTCCTTAACGTGATTGAAAAGGAATCTGTGCCTAACCTAGTATTGCTATGTTTCATCACCAGGTAACCTGGGATCCTTGGACTGGTAACCAGATTGTGAGATGTTGCCACCTTCTCCTGTGGGACATCATCCCAGGAAGGTTTGAAGAGGGCTTGTGGTGGCCCTTTTCCCTGTGTTTGACATGTGTGACAACAAAGATAAAACCAGAAACTCTTCTCAATGGCTAGTGGTAATCATGGCATTTTTTTATTGGGTGGATGGTATGTAAAGTGTTATCCATTTTCTCTGTCATGTATGGAGACCCAGGGGTTCTTTTTACTATGAAGGTTTCCACATCTGTGACTATTGACCTTGGCTTCTTTTACAGGTTTCAGTTAAATAGAGACGCACTTCTCTTACCAGGCTTTGTCTGTGTAGTATCACAAGGACCCAGGTAATAAAGCAAGTGGGGTCCTCAAACACACAGTGACCTCCCCAACATTCATTTTTGCCAGGGTAAGATGTTGCCTAAAGCCGTGTGCTTGATTTTGTTTCCACAAGTATCCTGATGCCACAGTTGGTGTCCGTTGTACTCACACAGATCCTTAGATGCCTAAGGTAAGTGTAGTCTTGTGCCAAGGGAACCAATGAGGTCCTGGCACCTTTATCCGCACAGGTCAGTGAGAAGGTGTCACTTAACATTGTCAGCCCCCTCCTTGATTTGAACATGCTTAGGTAGGGAAGGTTGGCATCCTAGGTGCTGCACTCTCTGTGAGAGAGGGGCTTTCTGTAAGTGAGATCAGATGGATGCTGAAACCTTGAGCATGGAAGGAGTGATTTTGTGCAGGTTTTTGTGATTACTGAGGCCCTTTCCAGGATCGTAGCATAGGAGTGTTTGAGAGTGTGCAGGAGGGAGATATTTGAGTGTGAGTAGAGCCCTGTATTGCCACATAGAGGTAAGTTTTCAGTGTTATTCCGTGGTTTATGGGGGCACCATATGCTCATTGACTCTATTCTGATGCCCACTTTTCTGTGTTTTTTCAGGGTTCCCTTGAAGAAAGGATAGAGGCGGAGAAGGCTGAGGTGTGAATATGCAAATGTCAGATAACAGTATGCTGTCACTTCATTGAGGACCAAGTAATTTTCTGTATCCGGGTAGATTGTAGAAACGTGTATAATGAAACATTTCTCGTGTTTCCTGGGTGTGCATTCACTTTGGGAATGGGATAGTGTAGGGTTCAGGGCCTATGCTGCATTGATGCTGTTTTATGGTACGTACCTGACTACAGATGACGAAACTCCAATGTTTCCCCCTTTATTTGGCAAGTTTGGAGATCAGTGCCTATTTGCTATTGTGAATGAGCACTTGGCACTTTTGAATCACTGTCTGTATATCTCATACATTTCCTACTAGGCCAGTAAGCATGAAGTAGAGCAGGAGGGCATTGTTATAGGATGGGTTCCTGAAACATGAATTAGAGCAGTTCGGCAGGCTTCTTTTCAAGTGTGTCCACTTATTCCTGTACAGCTAATCCATGGCAACTTAGTAGGCGTCTCAGAGTGGTGATGGAGCTGAAATGATACAACAGAGTGCAGATTGTGCCAGTGACAAGGAAGAGGACATTGTTAAATGATAGTTTTTCGTGTCTCTTTCAGTAAGTGTCCAGATGTCGCTGTGAGCCCTTAACATCGGCGATACCATTCAACATGGCCAGGTAAGTACACATGTGGGGCTCCCTCATAGAACCATAATGGTGTTCTCCATATTTCAATATATGATGATGGGGTCTGTGGGGGTTTTCACGATCATATTTAAGTGAAGGTGTCCAGGAAAGCTAAGGAAAAGAAAGGTGAGCTAAGCCAATTCAGAACCAGGAGTTTTTCCTTGGGCTTTGGAACAGGTCAATGAATGTTCAGGGATTCATGTGTCTTTCCATTGCATCTTCCCTGGTCCAATGATATTGTCATGAAGCAGCCTTCTGTGCACAAAGTACATGAATCTCAGAAGTTGACCATTTAATTGATCAACGTGAGTATCTTGACAGCATAGAATTCTCCTCAGATTGCATCTGATAATCCAGGTAGAGTAAAAGCCTTTTGTGCTGATGGCCTAGCAAAGGGTCAAGTGCTCTTGGATTTCCTTCAGGTATGTATATATAATGATGTAGAAGTATTTTTGAGTCAGTGTTTCAGGTGATCAGGTAAGTCCTAATGTGGAAATAAGCTAGGTCTGGGGAGTTGATATTCCCAAGTGAGGTACTAAAGGAGCATCTGCATAACACTGCTGTTGCCGTGTTTGTTCACACAGTATCCTGTGAAGCACCCCTGCTGGTGATCAGGTCTTGTGAGAAGTTGCCATATTCTTTAGCTGTGAGACACCTCCTCATTTTGTCATGAACAGTGGAAAAGAATGCTTGCACCTTCCCCCCCTTGTCTTTTCCTTGCTCTTTCAGGTATGTGACAGCAAAAGCACAACAAATTCTTCCCAATCACTCTGGTAAGAACTGTATTTCCTTGTAGGAGCTTAGCACCTAAGCTCCCTGTCATATATGGAGACACAGGGATTCTTGTTAATAGCCAGGTTGCTACCACTATGGATATTTATCCTTGAACCCTCTCCAGCTTTCTTTCCCTTCAAGAGAGTAAGATTTTTTTCATACCAGCCTTGTTTTCTGGAATGAAACATGTGGCATCACAGGCAAACACAGTGAGCACTGCAATTCTCAGTTGTACTGGTGCAAGTGTATGGGCCCTAAAATCAGTATTCCCAATGTATTTTTCACAGGTACCCTGGTGTCAAAATAAGGTACAGTGAACTCATATGGATCTCTCAGAGATGAAATTAAGTGTGATCTTGGGTCTAGGGCATTAATGAAGTCCCATCACTTTCATATATGTATAGGTAGGTGAGAAAGTATCACTCAACATTTCCTGCCCTATCTAGTATTTGAAGTGCTCACTTCACAAAGGATGAGGTCCTGGGCAGTGTTACTGCCTGTGCACAGCACTTGTGCGAGGTCAAAGGAATGACAAAAAGGTAAGCATTGAAGCAATGATTCTCCCAGGTTTTTTTAAATTTTTGAGGTCCTGCTTGAGGGCCAGCAAGCATAGAATTTGCAGGTGTCCATGTAGTGTATTTTTTACTCTGGAGATCACAGTTTCCCTGGCAATCATCTCTGCATTCAGGTAAGTTTCCAGTGTTACTCAGTGATTTATAGCAGCATTGAACTGCTCATCAGCTCTGTACTAACACCATCTTCATGTTTTTTCCAGTTCCTTTAAAGAATGGTGCAGGATATCAAAAGGGCTAAAGACAGAATCCCATGCAAATGTCAGGTCAGAATCAAGGTTCTGGTACCTCATTAGTTACCAAGGACTCTTCAGTACCAAGTTGGAACGCAGAAACGTGCACAGGGAGATGCTCTATATCTCCTGTGTACACACCTGTTTAGGACAAAGCCAATTGAGTATACAAAGCCAATTGAGCGTATAAAGCCTAACCCTCAGAGCCCCTTTGTCCAGTATAGATTTTAATATTTGTGAAACTCTCATGGTTCTGTCTTCAATTTGGTAGTGGGGTGTACAGTGTCTTTTTGGTATAGTGAGGGAGCACCAGGTGCTTTTGATTACCTGCCAGCATATCCCACACAGCCATACAAGTCCCAGGAGGGAAATAAGAAGAATAAGAGTTCATTTCCATGGGTGGGCTACTGAGATATGGATTGGAGCAATTCAGCAGGTATTAGAAGTGAGCCCAGTTTCTGTTGCATGGTGAGTTTGTGGGCACATAGGAGAAGTCCGGTAGTGATGATGTACCCCAAACGATACGATGACATGAATATTGTGCAGATAGACACAGGGAACAGATAAAAGACACATTTTTCTAGGGCATCTTTTCCAGTGTGGGACTGCATCTCATCATGAGCCCTTGAACATTTGTAAACATCCTGATTAACATCCTCAGATACCAGATAATTGCGGATGCGTAGCTTCCTCACAGCAATAGATAGGAGATCTTCTTGGACTTTAGTGAGTGGTGGTAGGGTCCTTGTGTGGTGTTCTTACCATGCTTTGGTTACAAGTCCCTGATGAAGTGATAAATGGGGAGCTATGCCAGTCCAGTGACAGTAACCCTTGATGTAGGGTGCATCATAATGAATGTTGAGGGATCTGTGTGTTCTGGGATTGTCTTTTTCCTGGTCCAATCACGTGGTGGATTAGCCTTCTGAGCAGGAAGCACAGGCAGCTTAGGAGGTGACCAGTTGATCAGGATGAGTATCTCAGCTGTGTCAAATTGTCCATGGATTGGTTCTTTTATCAAGGTAGAGTGAAAGCATTTTGTACCAGTGGTGAAGTATTCCTGCCTGAAAAGTACATGCTGAATGATGTCATAAATTTATGCCTTGGGTTCTTGGACTTCCCTTAACGCAGGTATATGAAACAATGTAGAAAATATCTTTAGTTGATATTGCAAATCATCTGGTAAGTCCTATGTAGGCAGAACATAGCCTGTTTCCTGGCTCCTGATGTTCCATAGTGAGGTCTAAAAGAAGCCTCTGACAAACCTGGTCTTGACATATTTTGTCTTGTAAGAATACCTCTCAGTCCTTGAACACCCTTTACCTGTTTTTCCATAAACATTGGAAGAGAATTTTTGGGCATGATTAGCTTTTTCTTTCTGTTTGACTTATGTGATAAAATAATTAAAAAAGAGGATCTTTGCAGTAGCTACCAGTAAGCATCATTTATTCTTCTGGATGGCTGGTTCATAAGACATTTCCTATGCTTGCAGTCCTATATGGAGAGTCAGAAATTCTTTAAATAAATCCAGGCCCCATGACTTTGCAGGTTGCCATCCAAGGGAGTAAGATTTCTTACTAGGTTTCTCCGTGGAGTTTCACAAGGATCCAGGTACAGAAGCAAGTGGGCTGTACAAACAAAGTGAGGCCACAATTCTCACATGTTCTGGTGCAAGGAATCATGGCTAAAGCAGCATTCCTGATGTATTTTTCACAGTGATGCTGATGCTGATGAGATTGTAGCTACCCATGGGGTAGGTCAAGCTTTAATAGGATCCCATCATCTCCTTCAGGTACGTGACAGACGTGTGTCCTTAGGCATCCCTGGCCTCTCCTTGATTTGAA